TATTAATGGTATTATTAATGGTATTTTACATTTCTATTGTGTTTTGCTAGATTTTAACAGGGTTATTCACAAAAGGGTAAAGAATTTGGAGAAGGCCGGAGAAGTGAACAATCTAGGACAAAATAGCTTAGCTGGAAAGTGAGCTGGATTGCAGAATGTTTCCAAATCTGCTATTTTGGCCTAGATTGTTGACTTCTCCTGCCTTCTCTAAACTCGTCACCCTTTTGTGAATAACCTTCTAAGTTTTCTGAAATAACAATGTATATATTAAGGTTTTTTTATCATCTCCCTGTACTATGATAACTAATGCATCCTATATAGTCATAATAGCTAACAATGTTGAGGTCACAGAAAAGCCCATGATCTGATTACATAGGCATACACTGTACTGGGGTACATAGAATATTCATACGATACTGCTAGCGGCAGATAAAGGTATACAAGGTAATTGTTGTTGCAGGGCATTAAAGGCCTGAAACTTACTGAAAAAAGCAGCTTTGTATGTACTAAACACAGTAAATTGTGAAATGAGCAAAGCATTTTGAACAAATCCTCATATTTTGAAGGCCAGTCTTATTTGATTGTTCAACGATCGACAGAATAGAATTTAAAACATGCACTTATTTCTACCAATTTAATTTAATGGCAAGAGATTAATTACTCATTCAGCATCCACCTTTAGCCCTAATTGGATTACGTACAGATCTTGCGAGAACATGTGTCAAAAGGTTCACTTATCTGGAGCATGCATCAGAATTTCTGTGTCACAAGCCTCCTACTGGATTTGCTATAGAATTTATAGTGAATGCACTCTAGAAAGTCTGGCTCACAGTCAAGTTGCTATGTAATGACTGGTCTGCAAATGCCCAAACTATTAAATAGTGTTCTACTTAAGGTATACATAATAAAAAATCCTGAAGGTAGAACTGTGGCCAGGCAATAGAGATTGAAATATTTACATATTTTTGCTGACTATACAATCTAAATATACGATCTCCTTTAGATCTTTCATCAACTATGTAGTACAAGGACCTGGCTTATTTAATACAAATTGATTGAATTGTTTAGGTTTGCCCTCAAATGACATACAGGGTTATTCACAAAGCTTCCAAAGGCAGCCGTGTGAATAACCGACCCAAAGTGAAGTGAGCCAAAGCTGTTCGGTTATTCACTTCAGGCTTGTACAGCTGATTTCATCCGTACATTGGCTGAAATATCAGCATATTCGGCCAACACGAAGTGCAGAAGGAGTTTGACTCAGCCAATCCAACATCTGGATCAGCTGAGCCGAACTTCTGGCAGCCTACTCGCTGCTGTTCGGCCTATTCTTACAGGGGCTGAACAGCAGTGAGTGACTAGCCGAATGCCGCCGAGCTGCATTTGGCACGGCTATTATGCTCGGTACCTCTGTGGTACTGAGCAGAATAGAAAAACAGTAAAAAAAAGTATAAGTAGAAAATGATTGGGCACAGCTAGCAGTGACAGCTAGCTCTGCCCAATTGTTTCCTATTGGCCGGGACCCGCTGTCATTACAATGAGAGCTCGGCGGAGCCGGCGGTGATATCACTGCCGGCTCCACTGAGCTCTCATTGTCATGACAGTTCAGCATTCCCTGGTTACCAGGTAACCAGGGGACGCTGAACTGTCATGAGAGCTCAGCAGAGCTGGCCTTGATATCATGACTGGCTCCGCTGCACTCTCATTGTAACCAGGGTAACCAGGGGACGCTGAACTGGCGCAGTGTCTGTCCCGGCGGATCTCCCACATCCCACAAGCCACCCACATGCAGAGATCACACATCAGGCCTGGGTAGCTGCAATATGTTGGCCCGGCTGCAGAGGGATTGTGGGAGCCAGCAGAGCTGCATTCTCTGACTGGGGGGAGGAGGGGGCGGAGACTTCCTGCAGCGGCTCCGCCGACACTTTCTGTCAGCAGGTAGCAGAACAGCGAATACACACGGCCTCATCTACCTGTGTGTGCCCCGAGCTCAGCCCAGAAGGAGGCGGCCAGGCGTGTCACCTTCTACCCCCCTTCCTCCCCGGGGGGTCAGACGGAGCTCCGAGTTTCCACGCCGGGATGATGTTGGTGTCACTAGGAGGATGGTGATGAATGGAGAGACGGCACTGATGGATTGGGGCCATGGACCGGGCTGCATGCGGTCCCCTGCCCTGGGGGTAGGCAAGGCACCACGTTCCCGGAACTGGCAGGCTGTGCTATGGATGCCTGCTGCTAGGTGCAGTATGAGTAGAGCCTGGCTGCAGCTGTGACTGCTTCTCATGCTCAGTGTGCAGGCGAGGTTGGCGGTCACTGAGCTGCCCGAGGGCAACCAGGGGATGCTGAACTGTCATTACAATGAGATCTCGGTGGAGCCAGCCTTGATATCACGGCCAGCTCTGCCGAGTTCTCATTGTAATGACAGTTCAGCGTCCCCTGGTTACCCCAGTGCAACTGGCCAGAGCCATCCGTGTGATTACGGCTTGCTCCACCCAGCTGTCAGTTGCGAGGCTCGGCCCACTTCGGGTTTCACTTTGGCTCAATCAAGCTGAAGCATATGCCTTCGGCTCAACTGAGCTGCTCAACAAGCTTCAGGAGCTGTACGGGCTATAGTGAATAGCCTATACAGCAGCCCATCGGTTCTACGGCTGATCCTTCGGCTAGCTTTGTGACTAACCACCTTAGTTTTGGTGAAGCTAAAGATATTCTGCAGCAATAGTATAGCATATAGCCAGCAAGCTCAACAACAGCAGAAGCAAGAAGCTATCCACCTCCCAGTGGACCTGTTCTTTGTTAACAATAGAAATTGGCAGGCTGTCAACTCATTGCTGGGAAGGGAGAGTCAAATGAGCTAAGCTGCTGATATAAAAGAGAAAGTGCTTTCTTCTGTAAACTTTAACGAGTTTTTTACCATAGTGCATGCAGCTACAGAGGACAGTGTGCCCTTTTAATGCTTATATACTGCATGTTAGGAATATCTGAACATTTCTCTGCATAACCATGCTACACATCTACTTTAAACTCTCCCTCCCACTTTCCAGTTCCTGTACTAACCTCCAAATGTACCAATTAGTTGCACCAGTCCCTTTGTAAATTATGACCCACTGCACTTGGTGCTTGAGCGATGCAGAATTAGGGTTGTCCTAAACATGTGCAAGAACTGACTTTTGAGGAAAAGTACATTTTTGCAAAGAACTTTACAGGGGCCATAGTGGTGATTGGAGTGTTGGATGTGAGCAGGTAAAGTGAATTAACGTATTAGAGGTTGCCAAGGGAAGGTGTTGGGGAATGTTTAAATGTCAGACAAAGGGCAACAAAAAGTAGGTTCTTTGTAATGTCAATTCCTGCTGCAGCTTATAATTTATTTTTCTCCCACACTACTCTGCTTGCATGCGAGAGTGACAAGAGGCAGCCCTGTGTAAGCTCCAAGTCAGGCTTACACAAGGATATGGATTCGATCCCCACACCTTTTTAGCTGGTACCTGAGCAGCCAATTAGCAAGCATCAGAGCTGTTGCACGGAAGGAAAGGAGTGGAATCACATGCTTCCCAAATACCAAGCTGCTCAGTATTTTTCTTCACTCTCAGCTGCCTTGCATGGGCACAGAACTTAATCACTTTAAAAAATATTGACTACTTATGGTACCTAATTGCATTCATGATTGAATGTAAAAAAAAATGTGTTCTTTATTTAGTTGTATGGGGTTACAATCAATGGGATCCGAGTACAGGTGTAAATAACACTCTCAGAAAGGTCAGCTATGGTACTAACTAATGAGGTCCACTCTAGTTATTAAAACACATCTGGCATGTGATGATGTGATGGGTAGTACAATGTTGCTCGATCTGCTAAAGTTAGATCATAAAATTCAGTCAACCTTTCATCATTGCAGAAAAGCAGAGGTGCAAAACCCTGAAACATACAGTATAACAAATGCTTTCATTATCTTTGTGTTTGTTTGTGTTTTCTTTTGGTAGCTTTTCATTGTTCTGGGAAATGAAAAAGTTAATAGCTTCTGGGAAGCAAATCTTTTGCCCGAAAACACGCTTCCTGTGACCTCCAGTATTAATCAGAGAAGGTTGTTTGTCACGCAAAAATATAAAGAGGGAAGATTTAAAAATATACGTTCTCCTGACTTATCTCCACAACAGCTAAACGAGGTGCGTAAGTGTCAAAAACATAACATAACACTAACTTTGTTTGTAGTTCATTTACAAACATTTACAAAATTGCACAGATTTATGTCACCCAGCTGCTTATGTTTAACTGTGTCTCTAATGGTAGTAGGAGTTATTTGTCCACAGGTGCACGCTAATAGCTTTATTCAGGAAGTAAGTGCAAGGAGCAATAAAGATGTGCAAAGTATAATATATATCATAGCATGTAGCTAGATTGCACTTAGCACATCATCATAACTCTTTGCAGTAGCTTCCTGGATAAGTCTACTAGACAGATATATGTGTTAACCGTACATGAACTGACCTAGTCCTTAAAGTGTATCTAAGGCTAAACTTTTTCCAGTAACAACTAAGAGAGGATTTCCTTAAGGGAGATTTTCTGCACTTGTTGATTTGTCTCCAAATTGTGAAGTGAAAGGAAATCTCCCCAGCACATAAACAGTAAAAAAAATCTGGATATGGGCTTTAATCATTCCCTGTTCTATGCAAAACTAAAAGAAAGAAAAAAAGATATACAGTACTCTAAAAAAAATAATATAACATGTAATTGTTACATACTCTATTTTGTAGTGCAATGCTATTAAAGGATAACTAAGAACAATACTGTAATATATTGCATCTTACCAGTCCTTAGATGTGGTGGTTGCATTAGTGTTCTCTTTTTAGGCTAAGAACATTTTCTTATTTTTTTTCATCAAGACATTTTTATTGGAAACAAGCAAAGTTATTAGTTTTTCAATAGTTTGTTTTACAGAACAACAACAAAAAAAAGAAAAATGTTAAGAACAAAAGAAAGTGACTTACAGTTCATGAAGGGTATGAACTGTCATCATAAAATGCCTTAGCACAGACAGATCTGGCATGCACTTTAAACATAGCCATGGAATTTAGCAAAACAGAAAACAGCATTATAAAATGGTTGGAATGTGGCAGTTGTAAAGAAACAATACATACAATCAATATATCCACCCAGTATCCTGTTTATACCTAAAGCAGGAGGTGTTGATCATTTTCATCAAGTATGGCATGTTGTTCTTGCTGGAAATGCAGTGTCCCTGTCACTTCCTCAGAGATGAACTAAAAGTATAAAACAACAATTTTTTTTGTGAACTACTAGTACCCTCACTGCCCCATGTAACTAAAAGTCCAGCCTGGGTGGCAACCTTGGCTCCCTCAACAGATACAGTGGGAGTAAGTATAGTCACCCAGAAATAGGAATTGTGTTATTCACATGATTAAAGGAAAGAAGCTTGAAAAAAATGAAACAAAATCTACCACAACATTATCAAGAAATCATAAGCCGCAAAATAATGCATTTTTGATTTTTGGGTTTAGATATGCTTTATTTTTCTGATTTACTTTTCTGTTTTAAGCTACAACTATAATTTTCTTAACTTCCCTGGCGGTATTCCCGAGTGTAGCTCGGGGTTACTTTTGCATACCATAAGCGGTAACCCCGAGCTTCACTCGGGAAAGCTGCATAGCACTTACTTACCTTGTCCCTCGAGCCGCGCTGTGTTCTGCGGCCGATGCCGGCTGCGTACGCGTCGCAGGGGGGCGGAACCGGCGGGATATTTTAAAAAATACATTTTAAAAAATGAAAAAAACGACAAAGACGAAAAACATTCGAAAAAAAATAGACCAAAAAATGACATGAAAAAAATTTAAAATCATACCGCCAGGGAGGTTAAACTGCCAAAAAAAATGATAAAAACATTGCAACCTTAGGACATACTATACATTATTTATGTATAATATGCACCCAAAAATTCTTGCCTGTGTTATTGGTATCTAGGAGCGAAGTGGGCTGGAGGAAAGGGGGTAATTTTCCCACAGGGCCAGTACTAAGAAAATATGTTGGGCTGATAGCTCTCAGTGGATGAACTTCACCATTCAGATATCAGAGTGGGACCAGCACAATCTTCCTCTGTGGCTCTGAGATATCATGTGACTAAATGGTGAAAGCCACAAAGGAAACTGATGATTGAAGATGTGCAATGATATGTTGCAATAAACCAATTTTTTTAAGAACACCTACTGTATAGTGTCTTATTGCAATACAATCTAGAATTAAAATTGTTTTTTTAGCGATTGTAAATGTAATATACACAACATTCCTACCACTTTGTAGGCGCAAAATCATTTTTATGATTCTGAGTCCTACTAGACCCACTCCAGCCTATGACTGAGCAGTGAAATTAGATGGATATCAGTGATGAGCTCATCTCTCTGTCACCCTTCTTTCTTTTCCTATCACCATGCTTCTGGTCAGCACATAAACTGATTGGCTCCTTGTTCTGCTTCTTCCTCACACACTCCAGTCCGGCTGTACAGGGACTGTAGGAGGTTGATACAGCCTCTGATACAGGTCAAATACATATACATTCACTTTTTGCATTTAAAAAATATATAATGATGTATTCATGATTACAGAACAGCATTTATTTGTGTCTTATATCTGGGTAGAGTTTATGTTTAAGCATTAAATCTAAGCTCTTTATTGTGATAAAAGATCCATTCTTTTCTCTTACCCTTTTCTTCCCTGTTTTAAAATCACTTAGGCTTTATGTGCCGCAGTAACCAAAGCTGATGTGCTGGAAACAATGATCTTGGTTTTTAGTGGAGCAGATGTCATGTGTACAACCGGAGATTCAGTCCACAGCACTCCATACCTTCTAGCAAAGATGGCTGGACAGCGTTTACAAATGGAGTTTCTACATCATAACAGATTATCAGGTAGACACATCCTTCAATTTTATATTATTTAGAATAATATCTGAGCATGAAATCTATGTCAGTTTCATACCATAAAACTTTGAGTATTTTTTAAATCAATTTAGAAAATATTTTTTGACTATTTACAATATACAAAAAGTGTATGCAAAAAATATATTCAGTGCATCTCTACAAAACTTACAATTTCCCCATGTTTTGTCTCTTTAAAAAGTCTGTACGTACAGAAAAATACTTGATCCCGCCAGAAATACAATTAGATCCGAACTTTATGTAGTGAGGTGACAATACTGCCTCTGCTGTACTGAAATATCAAGCAGTGTTAGCCCTGTCTGAGTTCTCCCTGCTGGACTTTAAAAATCTCCCCTTTATATTATGGACATGTGGAGATAGGGGGATGCTATAGTCCAAACTTGGAAACTGAGCAGACCTAACAACACTGCTTGGGATTCAATGCATCAGAGCCACTGTGTTGTTAGCTGCAACAGGGTTTAGGGAGCACACTGGATTTCTAGCAGATCAAGAGGTATTTTTCCATACTTGCAGCATTGTAATGAATGAAGCGTGGGGAATATGTCATGTATTATGCGATCTAATATGCTTTTTAAGTTTTGCCCAGACATTTTAAATATGCTGTTGATGGTCAGCTGAAACGTTAAGGCTCAGATGTCTCCACTACTTCCCCTATTATTTTTCTCTCAATATTTCTTACAAAGGGTAGGTTTTTATTCTGCCACCAAGAACTGTATTCAGACCTTGTGTTGACCAGGTAATTGTGAACAATGATATGTTTTTGCGCCCAGTTGTCTGAAGTTTTGTTTGCTTTTTAACCAAAAATTCTCCTTCCTGATCTTCTACAGTAGCAGCAGCTTTCACAAACGTTGCTGAAAAACATGAAAATGCATAGGGTAGATTGTCCTGGATCTTGTGGCATAGCCCATGAAACATGTGAACAGTGTTGCTGCAGTACTAGATCATGTGATTAATTTAGTTTTGCCTAAATAAGGTAACACAATACAGCCCAATAAGCAACTATAGCAATTAACTTTAGGATTGACCTTTCATTTTTAATTTTACAGATTACCAAACTACAGACAGCCAGACTGTAAAGAATCAGAATCTGTTCTATTGTGGCTTTTTATATAAAACATCTTCAAGTTCTTCTAAGTTGTCTGCCAGCAGGAAGATACAAGAAGGTGATTTGTTTGCTTAGTCCTTATGTAACTATAACAAATATACATAAATTAAACACATGCTACTAAATTGTCACATAATCGGAAATAAATAAATAGTTGTAACTTCAGTAAGAATATTCACCCTGATGTGTCAACTAAAGCTTTACTTAGAGAGGTTGCTTTTCTAAAGGAGTAGGGAATATTCCCATTGCAAGGTAAATAAAGTAGAGGTGCACCGAAATGGAAATTTTAAAACCGAAACCGAAATAAAAAATATTGTCAGGCCGAAACCGAAGCCGAAAATGTTTTTTATTTTAATTTTTTCAAAGTTTTTAAATATTTAATTTGTATTATAAACATTAAAAAATTTTTTTTTATTTTGATCATAGATCACTGACAGATGAGTGTGTGTACATTGCTCTTCTCTATCTCTTCTCTCTGACACGCTGTCATAGGAGGCTGATTGAGCCGTGTAGGAAGGAGAGCCAAGCCTCCTGTGACAGCGCTGTCTCTGCCCACACACCGCTCTGCCGGACTGTGATAGGAAGCTAAGCTGTGTGGGAGGAGACGCCGGCCGCTCACAACGCTCTCCTTCCGCAGCGCTTAGCCGGCTATCACAGTTTCTCTCCTCCCAGCTGGGACACTGAGCAGCGCCCAGTGGGGAGGAAAGAAACCTGGGATGCACCGATGTATCGGCAGGAAAATGGCAGTTTCGGCGGCCGATATATCGGTGCATCCCTAAAATAAATAGAAGCTGTGAATAACCAATAATGTTCAAATGAATGGAAAGCAAAATTGGAGTTTGACTTGCATAGGATTGAACAGAACACAGTTGCACTTTATTAGCCAAGCAAAATATATACTCTCTCCTTTTTTTTTGTAAGTTTACCCCCCAGTTTCCTTTTATATCACTCCTACATACAAAATAGTTGACCTACTGCAGAATTTCCAGTGGCGTTTTATACCTGTTTTCCAGAACCCCACATGTACAGCAGAAGCTAATGCTGAGACCAGACTTAGAGAACAGCTGGCAACCTTGAGAACCCTGAGATGGAAAGCAATAGTCCCTAATATACCATTTAACATTTTGGAATCCCCAGTTATTAAATTGAACAATTAAAGTCTAGTTTATTTTCAATGGTTTTTTATAAGCATCCATTGTATATAGAATGCTAAACCACACAGATGGGATTTTCATAAAAGGTAAACCACATAATTTCTTCCATCATTGTATGTTAAAATAATTTATTTAAAAACCAAGGTCTACAAGATTATACAAAAAAAATGACAGTAGTGACATACTATACATCATTCCATATGCACACTCACCAAAATGATATAGCTTCTATACAGTGTAATGGTGCAAGCCATATTCAGAATATGCTTGTGGTCAATAGTGGATTTGTGGCTCTTATTGACGCGTTTCATAGAACTAAGTCTACTTCCTCAGAACATATGGAACGATTTCTGAAAATGTCAAAATATATTTAATTTGCATATACTATTACAAACAAAATTAACATTAACAATAATTTCACATTTTAACAGTACAAATCAGCTACTGACTTACACAGATGTGGAGTCACATAAAAGAGGGACAAAATTATTATCTGCAGGGGATAAATTATGACTGCAGAGGATAAAATCACACCACATGCAAGTAGAACAACTTATCTAGCTATGGACGAAAGAGTCTGCAATAATTTTTACACAATTTTATTTTTTTCCAATTCAAACAGTATCACTTCTCACGATCGATTAATAAAATAATCTCCATTACCTTGAAACAGAACTCCTAGGATGGAAACTAGCTGATTAGCCCTCCAAACCTTGCACTCCCTAAGGTATATTTGAGGATGTCTAGTAATATCACTCTGTAAAGTAGTGGAAATATGTAAGTCTAGAGCCTAATTTTTTATTTAAATTATAGACTCTAAATTCCTGTTCTAGGTGTTAGTGGCTAGAGGGTGTTACTGAAATCTGGGTGCATCTTCAACAGTGGACATCTCTAATTATTTCATACCCATCATATGTTTTAATTGTGTTTGGGTTGTGTTTCAAGGTAATGGAGATTTTCCTATTAGTCAACTGTAAGAAATGATACTATTATTATATATTATTACATAAATATAAATTATAAAATTATATAATTAATTAGATATATTCTGGCATTTTCAGAAATCATTCAATATATTCTGAGAAATAGATGAAGTTCTCAGAAACATGTAAATAAGAACTACAGTGCCAATATTGACTACAAGCATATACTGAATATGAGTTTGTACTGTTACAGTGTATAAAGGCTATATGGAGGTAATTGTAGTGAGTTTGTATATGGAATGATATATAATATGTTATTATAATATGTCACTAGTTATGTCCATTTTTTGTATAATCTTGTATATTTTGGCTTTTAAAGAAATAACTTTCCACCTATAATAGTGGAATAAATAAAGAAATTCTGTGTTTGACATATTTCAGGCACCCTGACAGTCCCATTTGTGTGGTTTGCTAGGATTCTATGTACTTAGGAATGTAGTGTCTTAGATTAAAGGAGGGAAAGGGAATCATTTTATTATTTAAGAATATACTGTAGTATGTCTTGCTCTACATTATCACAATCCTGTGTTCTGTATTGTTTTTATTTTTTTGATAATAGATATGACAAAGTGGTGGTGCACCATAGAGAACAGTCTACTGAACTATTATGAGGATGAAAATAACACTGTGCCAGAGGGCTCCATTGACTTAAGTGAAGTGGTGTGTCTGGTTGTTCATCCTTCAGATTTCATCTTGGGTTCCGGGTATGTAGAAGGACACCGGGCACAACTGTTATGGGTTCTTCTTTTAAGTCAACATAAAGCTTTCATTATAATGTTATAAGAGTATTTGGCCAATATACCTCCAATTACTAGTGGCCATCTGTCAAGCTATACAAAACACTCTGTCCTTGAATGGTCATGGGGGACTAGGGGACCCAACTAGCAAGTGTGCAGGGACTAAATTCTGCCTCATTTTAAAAAGAACTGCAGGGATATATGCAACACAGTGTTACTTTTAGTTATATATATATTTTTGAAAACAAGAAGAACTCTAGCCAAAATGTTCTTGATAACATGTGTAAAGGATATAAGGGATATCTACTCAACAGCGACACAACACACCTTTACCCCTCCATCCTAAACTTTTAAAGATTTTAACAGAAGTTACACTTTAAATTCATTTTTTTCAACGCTTAAAGTATAATTACTTAAATCTGTCTTTGCTTTATTGTCTCATAACCCCTTGTGCAGCAGAAACTGGGCTACAAGTAGGGGTACTGATGCTATCTCATAGCCACATAAACAGTGGCTATAAGAGGAGAGTTGACACAGGAAGCTGCAAAGCTGTATATTTATTATAGAGGTGCTACCCAATGGCTTGTGGGGAAGGGATATGTGTGACTCACATAAGCACCAAGACAAGATGTACAGTGGTGGTGATTTTTTAGTTTAAGCAGAGTATATACTTTACTATATTCATATTTCAGAGATTAAATTTGCTTTAAATACACCTTCCACTGTGTACAGTCCAATTTGTTTTTCTGTGCACAGCAGGTATAATGGTATATCTTCTTTTCATATTGTTCACATATTCTAAATCTAGTCATTACATTACTTTGGACAGATATGTTAAAAAGTCTATAAATTCTGGGTTGTCAGTCTTACACTTCTAAGTGTAGTTAATCAAAAATGAAGGAAAAATACAGAGCAAACATAAAAACTAAAAGTCAGTCTCTGTTTTCAGTAAATTTATCAAAATGCCACTGAAATAATCTCAGTGTTTTCCTTCTGTTTGCTCATCCCGAAAAAATGAACTAAATAAATTAAAAGAATACAAAATTATCTTTACCTTACCTTACAGTATATATCAGGGATGTCCAAACTGCGGCCCCACAGCTGTGGTGGAACTACGAATCCCATGAGGCTTTGCAAGATTCTCACAGACATGACTCCCGGAGAGAGATGCTTTGGACCTCAAACTAGCCATGATGCCTACCATAATTACTCACAGAAATGAACCCTACCCTACCGACACATCAGGGATAAACATGTGTTCACTTTAAATAAATAAGGAGTGTAATTAATAAAAAAAACACAGATTCACCTTATTTATTAACATTATCTTTGCTGTGTAAACATGACCTTTGCTAGACAAACTGTCTCTACTGCTTTAGTAAATGTGTGCAGTTAAAAATTATACATCGTTCTTTGATATTGTATTGTCAGTTTTTGCAATAATGTGCTTCATAAAGTTAATTCAGAAAAATCATTGCACAGGTTTTCACACCTTACAATATTGCTATATTCTGACAGGGATAATGTTATATGAGGAATCAGAAAGTTAAGTTAATCGGAAGATTAAATAATGTTCTGTAAGAAAAGAGGTTCATGAGAAATAAATGATTGCAATAATAAAGTATTTCATGCAAAGAAATAACAGTTGAACACCCAAGTGATATGTATTTGTGTGAATAGAATGTATTGGTTAGATACTGATTGCTCAAATAACATACACAGTTAATTAACTCATGCAGCTATTTTTATCTTGTTTGCAGTTATTATCTGTTATATTCTGTTATATTTCTTATTTAGAATATCTTTTTATTCAGGATCTCTGTGGAGGACTGAATACGGGTTATAGTAGATTAGTTCCTGCTATTGTTGAGCAACAGGACCAAATATTAGCAAATAATTTATATATTACAGTTTTCCAATTCTTAGATGGTGGCTGATTTTCTTTTTTCGAAGACCATTTTAGCAAGTACAGAAAATACCTGAAGTGCAGTATCCTTGTCATCATTATTATTATTATAATACAGGATTAATATAGCGCCAACAGTTTGCGCAGTGCTTTAGAATATAAGGAAGACATTACAATCACACTACAATTCAAGAGAAGATGGTAAGGAGGGGCCCTGCCCCTGGGGGCTTACAATCTAAAAGGGAGGGGGAAATGATACATGAGGAGGTAGCTGTGAGGGGATGAATTGTTTGAGAATGTGATGGTTGAGTGGTTAGGTTGAGGTGGGATAGGCTTCCCTGAAGAGATGAGTCTTAAGGGACCGCCTAAAGGAAGTCAGAGTGGGAGATAGACAGGTTGGGGTAAAGAGTTCCAGAGGAGGGGAGATACTCTAGTGAAGTCCTGGAGGCGAGCATGGGAGGAGTTGAGTTGTGGATGGCCTTGTAAGTCGTTGTTAATATTTTGAATTTTATCATTTGGGCTATTGGATGCCAGTGGAGGTATTGGCAGAGGCATGTTGCAGACACTGAGCGGTTGGTCATGTCCTGTGAGCTAAAAAAAAGGAAACACAATCATATTTATTTGTTATAAATTACTGTACTAATACCATCAATCTTCATGTAATGGAAATGAACAAAGGCAGATGAAGAAAGGCAGACATATTAGTAGGGAACTTTGGTGGGAGATATGGTTCACTCAGTAGGTACGGTGGAGAAATGAGTGTAGCCACCTTTGTCCTTGTAAAATAAAGAAAGCTAATGTAGCCACCTCATCTAAAGAGTGATCAGCAGCAATTTATTTACTTTCTGGTTTTACGTTTAGATGCACTTTCACCCTTTTACTGCCATGTACACTGGGGTTACAATAGAACAGAACTGCTTACAGCTGGCTGCCTCAATAGCCTTAACATCCTTGGTATTTCTTTAGACTATAGGTTATAGTCACTAAAGCTATAGCAGGCGGGTCCCCTAGGCTCTGCTGAATCATGAATAGCTATAACCAGTGGCTGAATAGCCATGGATCACAGGCATTTATAAGACATTTGACTGCTCTCCTCACCTACACTGCCCCACAGTGTGCCTTGCCTGTCACTAGATCTTCCCTACTCTGTGGAAGAAGCGTGAATAAAGAAAAATAGTTTAAAATTGGAGAGCAGGGCCCAGCAGCATGCATATACACACTGCTGCCTATTCATTCCTATGGATAGAGTGATACATAGCAAGGCAAGCCACTTCTCTGATCACTGCTCCTCACACTTTCTTCCTCTCTCCTCCCTTCTCCAAGCTAGTAGATGGACAGCTGCTGGAGGCTATGGGAGCAGAGCTGAAATAGTTGTATCCAGATGTTCTAAAACATAATGATTGTAAATACTTGAGCAAAAACATAAAGAAATGCTTTGCTGGGCAATGTATATTTGTTTGATCTGGATGTATTATTAAAAAACGTTTGAGAGTTTAATATTAATTTAAGCAACAAAGGGACACAAAGGGCGCAAAGGCAATGAAGCACTAGCTAACTTTACAGACCGTGATAGGAAAATAACTGTATAAGCACTTACATATAGATCCTGGGACCAGAGGATGGACGGCCTGTATGGAGAATCGGGACACCCGTGGTGTGTGCCCGAATCTGGCTGGTGTACTGCCTGGAGACGTACGTCCACATGGGGAGAGAAAGTTGTGAGCGAGGAGGGTCTCAGGAGGGACTCAGTCCGTGGCACCGCTAGGTGAGTGCGGGAACTGAGCGGTGTGAGGGAGACCCGGCGGTAGTCGGGTGCAGGCTGAGCTGCTGCTGCCGCGGCTGTAAATACTGGTGCTCGGTCTCTGTCAGAACAGACCGGGGCAGTGTGCGGGAGCCGGTGTATGGAAATGTCGGCAGTCCGTCCGTCTGTGATGGGATAAAGGTTGTTATAGAAGGAGAGCAACGCGTTTCGAGGTGTCACCTCTTTTTCAAGCTCAGATAGAACGTTATGACGGTGGCGGGAAACTGCCGGTTTAGAAGTGACAGGTGGGCTGAGCCAGAAGCGATAAGCGGCAATATCGCGGTTTAGAGCTAAGAACAGGGTTTCTGGACAGAGGCATGTATTAAAAGGCTTCCACCCCCCTCGCTCACAGCTTTCTCTCCCCATGTGGACGTACGTCTCCAGGCAGTACACCAGCCAGATTCGGGCACACACCACGGGTGTCCCGATCCTCCATACAGGTCGTCCATCCTCTGGTCCCAGGATCTATATATAAGTGCTTATACAGTTATTTTCCTATCACGGTCTGTAAAGTTAGCTAGTGCTTCATTGCCTTTGCGCCCTTTGTGTCCCTTTGTTGCTTTACATTCACAGGTTCTCCTCCTGTTCCCCAGGGCTGCATGCTTTTTAGTTAGCCTTCCATTCTCAGGGCCCCCATCCGAGAGCGCTGTTTATGTCTTTTTGTTTTTTTAATATTAATTTGATGAGGCCACGGCATGAATGTGCAGACTGAAGAATACCCAATGAGAGTGTTTTCAGCTGTCTACATTGATTTTATGTCTGTTATTTCCTCTTCTAAAAAAATATATATACTTTGATATACACTTCACACCAACAAAGGTATAAGGAAAGCAATCAGAGACCAGATTTTGACAAGGGGTATTTTTTTGCACTGAATTTTGTTACATTATGAACCAAACATTCACTTTAGAGACCCTCTATCATATTTCTTTTACCCCCATCCCCTGTATGTGTATCCCAATATGTTTTTTTACTTACCTTGTGCTGAAATGTTCTTAATTATTTTTTGCTCTCTGACATCACACAGGGATTTAAGACCTATTCAGAGCACCAGGGTTGGGAGTCACTTCCCACTGACTCAGGGCAACTTATGCAATAACAACTGGGTTATCAACAATGACACAGTGTATATAATCATGCATACCTGTAGTTCTAATGTCTACATCAGCGTCTCAGAATGCTGCAGTTTTTTTAATAACTGCAAGGAATTTAGAGTTTTCACCCTGTTAGAGGAAGCACATGTTACTGGTAGGATCACCA